ATGCAACTAGTTTTATCATAGTAATTTTTCATGAGTTAGTTTTTTAAATGCTCATTTAAAATTTTGAATATGGTAAATATTGAGAGCTGTAACGCAGATAAACAAAAGCTCTTTGGCGCCTCAATTTGTAAGAGTATAAGAGGGTTCTGGGACCAAAAAGTTTGAAAACTGCCGCTCTAGCCTGTAAGAAAATGTTCACCATCATTTTTAAATAAATTATTTAAAAAATCATCTTACTCAATAAAATAAATCACGTATAAACCTAAAAGAACCAAAAACAAAGTGAATGAAAATGTGGAAAAATACAAGGAGAGATCCCCAGCAGACAGGAGACCAAGAGATAGAGAAACGCTGACAGACACACGCACAGTCACACAGATACACACACTCTGTAGCTGTCTAATTTTCCAGGTTTGAGTATTACAGTTAAGTCCTCACTTGTCGTCGTCGATAGGTTCTTGGAACCTACAACTTTAAGCGAAACGACATAAGGAAAATAATTTTACCACAGACTAAGTGATATAAACAAGAGGTGTAAGTTCCTGTGGTATATTTCTGGTCACAAAAACATCACCAAACTTCTCAAGACCCAAAACACTTCTAATATTAAACATTAAAATAAATGTGAGCTATACAGACATTTAAGAAAGATTAATAAAAACATGTAAGCTCATTCTTTTCCAACCCCCTCATTCCAGTCCAGAGTCTTGGGTGGCTGGAGCCTATCCCGACATCTCAGGCTACCAGGCAGGAACCCACCCTGGACAGGATGCCCTTCCTTGGCAGGGCACTCTCACCCACACCCATCCACACTCAAGACTGGGACAATGTGGACACGTCACTTCACCTCATGTGCACAGCTGTGGGATGTGGGAGGAAACCGGAGTCCCCAGAGGAAACCCACGCAGACATGGGGAGAGCATGGATACTGGCCCCAGCCGGGAATTGGATTTTTTCTTATCAATGTTATAACAAAAGGACGTTATTCGAGGACCTGCTGTACTTGGTTGAGCGTGGCTTAAAAACCTGGTGGACCAATAGTCCTTTTCATACGACACTTGGGTAAAAATTGTTCCTTGATTTGCAGGGCTGCTGCCTATATTCTGTTTGCACAATCTGTCATTGCTTGCATGCTTGCCTTCCAAGTCTCAAAGGTCAGCTTGGTCACATTATTGTTTGCCCTTATGATTCTACCCCTTCATCTATTAAATTTGCCTCCTTCCTGTTACATCCTGAACACTGCTTTTAGTATTCGGGGATTGAACTTAAAAACAAAGGAAACAAATTTTTGGCAATCTGGCCAACTAATTCCCAATATTTGCAGCTTAATTACATCTTCCCTCCCTCAATTAGTCAAGGCAACTTTACCAAAATACACAGATGTCAAAAAACTTAAAACAATATAGTTTCCACATAGATTCTAACTTTCACAATGAAAAAAAAAAAGTCTTGAAAAACCTTTACGTTGTTAACTGACGTTATCTATTATGTAGAGCTTTATAGGGCCTGTTAATAAAAGTTGGTGCACTTTTATTAGTAAATCTTTAAGACATGACATAGAGAGAGTGAAGTAACGCTATTCAGTATACATTCTTAATGAGAACTAGGAGTCACTTACTCAAGGCCACTCTTCGAGGCCAGACTGAACCCCATTTTTCTGAAGCTTCTGATCACAGGAAAAGGCCAAGAGCCCTCCTGTAGCACCTTGGCCACTCAACTCCTTATGCGTGTACGTAAGAACAAAACTGCATCGACAGGGCGACTTTCTCCTTTCTCTCCTGCGAGTCTTCTTCTATAAAAAGAAACTTAGAACTAAAACCCAACTAAAAAAAGAACACACTGTATTAGGATACTGACCTGGAATCCTGCAAAAGTCAAACTCACAGTCCATTTTGGGCCAGTGTGTGGCCCATATTGCCGTGGAATCTACTGCATGGGTCTGCTACCCCCTGTGGAAAGTTTTCTGACAAAGGACACTGCTTCAGTGATCCGGCGCCACCTTCCCACACATCTTTGCAGTACATTTTCTCATAGTCATGTTGGGTGGCTGCGTCAGACCTCCTCATGTGACGGGGTGTTAGAAACACACGCATCAGATCTCGAAAACAGATTACAAAACAGAAGCCCTTTATAGAGTTCAGCTGTGTCTAGGAACAGGCAAGTCCTCTTGATTTGCCTTCTAAATGCAGCCCAGAAGGGGCAGAGAAGAGCTGCATTTATCAGACTTTAATGCATTTAAGCTATCAGCTTCAAGAAGGCGTAGTATGACAAGGGAAGTTTTTTTCAACTGAAATTCAGGCCGTTTGAAAGGCTAGTATCAGGAAGCTGCTATAGTGCGTTCGACAGAGAGGGAGGTTGGCCTCCACGGCCTTAACTGAATATATTATTTTGAAAAGGTAAACATTCAGTCTCTAGACTTGTAGTTACGTGTATATAGATTGTGAGAACGAGTATTACCAGATTCGTGAATGATGCAATGTGCCCAGTTAAATATTTCAGGTTGCTTGTTGGAAAGATGAAAGGGGGGAAGGTCCTTTGTTGCCTTTTTTGTCTTTTTGAAACACAACAGTATTTCAGGGTAGCCCCTGTACCTCGGGTTCATCTCACTATCAAGCTTGCCCAGACTCCCGCTTGCTAAAGAAACCTGGCAAACAGGCTTAGAGCTTGTCTCTGAAGCCCTGGAGTGCTGTGAGCATTTCTTGTCTCAACCAAATTCCACTGACACTCCAAGTCCCCGATGCAGAGGCATTTTTAATCTGAATGCTTTGGGGACAGTTACCAAAATGGCCAGGACAGGATTCCTGTCCCCTGGAACCTTTCATTTTAGGGGTGAGCCCTACACTATCAAGAGCCAAATACCACTTTCTCATGAACCTAAAGGGCCCACCAATTTGATGGCCCTGTTCCTCTCAGTTGGCTGCTACCTCGCAGGGAGGGCAGAGGGAAGAACCGTTGTACATTTTGGCTTTGGCACAAGAACGAACCTCCAGCTAGTCGCAAGGATGGGTTAGGCCAGAGGTCAGCAAACTGCAGCTCGTGAGCCACACGCAGCTCTTTGGGTACGTTCTGTCTCAAAAGTTTGCTGACCCCTGGAAGAGCCAATCCTGTCCCTCACAACAATTTAAAAATTATTCGAGAGCCATAAATATATTTTTACATAATCACCATTATGTGAAAAATATCCTTAAAAAAATTTATAAATGAAACTATGATAGTTTTATTTTCATTTTCAATTTTACTTCGGAGCCACATGTACGTTCCCAAAGAGTCGCATGTGGCTCGCAAGCCGTAGTTTGCCGACCCCCGGTGGCTCTTTCATCTCAAAAGTTTGCTGACCCATGGGTTAGGCTAAGATGGACAGAGCACCACCTGCTGCTTTGGTGTTACACTATCTAAATTGATCTCCTGTTGCTCCCTCTTACTCCACCCCCAGCCCACTCTTCACCCTGGCTTTCGGGAGGACTCCTGCAAGTCAATGAATCCACGTTGTTACATTGGTTCTTTCTGAACAAACCATAAACTGGGCCAAGCGGAGTGAATGAAATAATGCTCACGAAAAGCAAGAAGTGCACTGCTTGGCACACAGTAGGAATTTAATGAATGCTGGTTGGAATCATCTTGAGAAATGACTGTCCTGCTCAACTGGTGGCTATGGAGAGAACTGCTTATGTAGTCCACTCTTCAAGCAGTATGCAGGGCAACCTTTTAAAAACACAGAGGAGTCAAGTCAAGCTCTTCGGTGGCTTTCCCCTGATGTTAGGGTGAAATTCAAGCCCTTCAATGTGGCCTGCAAGGCCTGTATGGTCCACAGGTCCTGCACACTCTCTCCAGACTCACATGCTCCTTTCTCCTCCTCTCTGTGCTCACCATACAGGCCTCCCTGTGCTTACTCTACTTGCCCAGTCTTTTCCAGCCCTGGGGCCTTTAAACACACTGGTCTCAGCACTGCCCATGGCTGACTCACTCTCATGCGCAGGCCCAGCTCAAATGTCATCCCATCCCTCTGTGTGCTCCCACCTTTCCTTGCCCTCACGTCGTCTAATTTATTTCCTCTGTACTGCTGACCTCAGCGTGCAGTTATCATGTGTTTTGCCTGCTTGTTCACTGTCCACTCTGCCTTCCCGAAAGCAAACTCCACGGGTACGGATAGGACATTATCCATCGTGTTCACTGCTACACTTCTAGGCCACAGTACATGGCAGGCACTCCAGAAATACTGCTAAACGACTAAGTGAAGTGGCTATGCCCATAAAACACAAACGAGGCCCACCCTGATTAAAAAAGGGACCTGCCCCCTCCTTTGCACTCCTGATCCCCCTTGCCCTGCTTTGCGTTTTTCCTTTTCCACAGAACTCATAACATTCCAACACAGCTCACAATTTACTATTTATTGTCCATCTGCCTGCAAGAGTGTAAGCCCTACAGGGCAGCAATCTTTGATTTTCATCACTAACATATCTGAAGCATCTACTGGGTCGTCGGGAAAGTCATGACGTATTTTTCTATGTTTTTCAATGCAAAAACGCGTCATGACTTTCCCGACGACCCAATAGAACAGGTCTGACACATAGTAGGCCCTCAATAAACACCATTTACAAAATGAAAAATCTGCATGGTAAAAAAAAAAAGATATGTGTTTGTAAGTCAGCATTACATATGGACAGGCATCATAAATATTGCCTATTACAATTTTTCATGTCTGAATTTCCCCAATTAATCTGAATAAAATTGCTTTATCTGACCCCTCTCAGGTCATGTAGCACTGCACATATTAATTCATTTACTCTCCTTCACAATCCTGCAGGCACGTCAAGTAGAGGTACTACTATGTGCTCACAGAGTCTATGACCACACTTGCAGGCGTGGAATGAGCCCAGAGAACCGCCGTGCTCATGGCAGAGCCCAGATGGTGGCGCAGCACTCAGTCCCCTGCACCCTGCTGCCTCACGTGTACATGCACACACAGCAGAAATGACATCAGAGCAGCTGACTTGCTCTATCCGACACAAACAGGCCCTGCGCTGAGTCCAAACGGCACGCTCATCGTACAGGATCACCACTGCAGAAGGTTACAGCAGGCACAGACACAGGCTGAGATTCAAGATCTGGCCTGGGTCACATGCCAGGAAGTCCCTGAGAAATGCTACCTACCTGTCATGAAGCAGAATATGCCAGAGAGGTCCCCAAGAAGGGTAGCCAGGGATCGGAGTTAAGGTAAGCAGACCCCTGACCATGGGCAGTGGTCAGCAGAGCAACCTGAGCATTGCTAAATGATGAGCCTTGCTTGGGCCTGGGACCCTGCATGGCTGGCCGGTACAACAGGCATTTTTAAGGTGCCACCTGAACACGCAGTCAATCACAGCATCGCCCCACAGCCCAAAACTTGCTTAACACCCAACACCAAGGCCTTAACACTATTCCCACGTGTTGCCAATTTAAAAATTTTAGCATTAAAAAAACTGATATTGAAGAGTTTCTTGCCAATTCACTCAAAGAATTCAAGAGACAAAGGACAAGGATTTGCACAGCCGGGGGAGGGGGGGGTTGTTAATCTGAAGTGAATGCATCAGGAAAAGGAGTTTTCACCTGCTTCCTCTCCCCCGCTGTGAACCTGTAGATTTATGCTCTCATTCAGGCCTGGGGAGGGTGCAGCCGCAGGGATCAGAGGCTAATGCGGGGCACCAGTCAGTCAGGGCACAGCACGAGACCCGTGGGTCTGACGCATCAGGGGAGCACTGGGGAAGAGACTATCCGGGGTGGGGCCAACCCTTCTCCATGACGGGGGAAGGGTCTCCCTGACAACACGAAGCTGTGACATGGTCAGGGAGGCTCTTTAAAACCCTAGATCCAAATTCTAGTACCTTTATCAGGGCTTACGAGGTCCTCTGTTTGATAAATTTATACTCTTTACCACAAGAGTATAAATTCTGTGGGGGCTGAGACTGTTTACTACCACAGCCTCCCCAGCTCCCAGGCACCGCACTTGGCACAAATCGGGTGCTATTAAGGCTTTATTAGATATATACAAAAGTAAAAAGCACCCACACACCAAGCTTTCTAGAGCCCACCTCACCAAGCTTCCTGGATCCAGTGTTAAGTCAGTATGAACTGCCATGCTATTTGTCATTTATGCTAAAAGGGATACATTTGATGAACATAAAAAAAGTTCTGACGTGGTGAAAGGGGAAAAACAAAACAAACCGCACAAAAGACAAAGCACTACCAAAAGACAAAGCACTACCGCTGGCTTAAAGCTGAGCTGGCTATGACAAGTCAGGGCCATCCACTACCCACAAAGTTGTTACTGTTCAAACAAGTTAAAACACTGAAACACGGCTTTGAAACACTGAAAAATTGCTTACTCTTACTGCTTTGGCTCCAAGGAAGGAAAAAAGCAATCCTTTCAAGCTCTATGACATGCTTTGTTCTGATAAAGAGAACAGGTCCAAAATGGAGTTGCTTATGCTAAGCCCCACATCACCAAACTGAAACTTAATTTAGTTTTGGCTCTACCAGAAATGAACTCTTAGACCATTAGACCATCAGAAATCAAATGATCAGCATTAGTTAGAGGTGGTTTTCCTGATGAACCCCTGCCATCACCTATAAGGAAAGTAACCTTGCAATAACCGATCCACATTTTTGCCTAGTCTAATTTCCTTGTTTTGCAGCCTTGTGCCTATCAAATCTCTTGCCTTGTATAGCACGTTGGAGCTCCTTTCTGTTAGATCGGATGCTGCCCAATTCATGGATTGCTGAATAAAGCCAATTAGATCTTTAAAATTTACTCGGTTGGATTTTTTTTTTCTTTAACCTTTAAATTCCAGGAATTTTGGCCTTTGTCTCCTGAGTGCTTGGACTGAATTGGCAACAAACTTTAAAAAAAAAAAAAATCAACTTTTTTTGTTTTGTTTTAATACTAAAAATTTAAAGTCGGGAACATGTGGGTATAGTGCAAGGCCTTGGTGCTGGGTGTTGTAAAGGACTTTGTTTCCACATGACGTCCTCCCTTCAAGCACTCCCACAGGTCTCCCCTCCTGTGCCCACTTTTCCGTTCTTTCTCATGTCTCCCTCACTGAGCCCCCTGTCCTGAGAAGCTCACTGGGAGAAGGAGCTGGGCTGAGCCAAGTACCCGTGGGCCTGTGGCCTGCGGCCTGCTCTGGGTCAGACCTTGGATGCGTGTGCTTCCCAGTGCACCGATACATGACCCACTCCAAAAGCAGACACAAACCCTCTTCCCCCATCAGGTAACCAACTGTCAGATGAAAAAGGCATTATAATGTGTGCTAAATAATGGTAGTTCTCAGCACAGCCGCACATCAGATTCACCTGTAAAATCTCAAAAAAAGCATGAACTAGGCAACACCATGGACACTGAATCCGAGTGTTGGGACATAGGGTCTGGGCAGGAATGCTTTGGCATCCTGCTAAAAGTTACTGAGTTATGTTGTGCAGATGAACTGGCTCGTGACTTCTAACTACACTATGAAGAAACAGGTCATTACGTCTCTTGGCTTGTGTTGGAGCCCCTGTGGGCAGCCTTCCTGAGGGCTGTGTTAGAGTGACATTGACATCTCTCCACACATGCGTCAATGTCCCCAATGTGACTTATTTGTTTGGCAGGAGGAAGTTCACCTAAATATTCCAGCCACGGGCTGTGCCGCTAACACCTAACAAGCACATACACGTGCCTGGTGCCGTTCCACACACTCCATCCCATTGGAGCTTCACAGCAACTGCATTTTGCAAATGAGAACACAGGCTCGGCGAGGCTGTGTAACTTGACCAAGGTCACTGAGCTAGTGAGCGGCAGAATAGGGATTCAAACCTAAGCAGTCTGACTCAGAAACCACACTCTCCATTTCAAGTTCAGGCACACCAAGAAATAAAGAGCTCAAGCTTTTCCACGTCTTTTTTAATATCAAAAGCGCATCAGCTCATGGCCCTAGCCTATTCCCCAGTGTGTGCACGTTTAGCAAACTGCAGCCTGGACTGGAGCAGAGCGGCCATGTACAGGGGGACAGGTTAAGCTCTGTGGTATGCTGTGGGGGGAGGGGCAGCTAAGGCAGCCCATGCTCTGCATGGCCAGGTAGGGTCCCCTGGCGAGGGCGCATCCCCCTGCCAGAAGGGGGCCATTTCTTTAATGTGCGCAAAGTCGCCATATGGGCCACCAGATGGCTCTGGGGTTAACGCTTAACGGGAAATTTGGAATTTTCCATAACATTCCATTTACAATTCATTTTCTTAAAAAAAAAAACTTCAAAGTAATATACGGCACTCATAAATATTATCATTTTGATTTTGATCCACTTCCATCTCAAGATAATATTTATTGAGTGCCTCCTGCCCATCAATTATTGAGTTAATAACACAGCGGCTACGACAAGGAGGCGGCATAGAAAGGGCACAGTGGGCAGATTACAGCTACTAAACCAGGAAAGCAGAGAGGCCTCAAAGCATTGTGTTAGTTGGTTCATGAAACAGGGCTCTATCTAAAGATAATTTAGGACAAAGCAAACCATGTTCAGTCTGGCAAAATGGCTAAGAGCCTTAAGTTTGGTGTCAGGTGGACCAGTCTCTGTCACCTCTGGCTGTGACCTTGGGCAAGTTTCTTAAGCTCTTTGCACCTCAGCTTCTTCATCGGCAAAATATAGCTAATAATAGAACCTACCAGTGTTAACATGAGGATTAAATGATACCTATAAAGTGTTTGGCGCAGTGTCGGACACAAAATCAAGCTTAATAAATATTAGCTATTATTGGTATTACTATTACCAGTTATTATTGGTTGCAAATGGCAGTAGGGCCAAGTATTACTAAGCCTTGTCTCCAGGCCCAAAATCTAGGGAATATTAAATTCCTCCAGGGCAGGGACAAATGCTTGATTTCACTATGTGCCCAGGGTATCCCCATCTCCCCTCACAGCTTCAGACCCCACAGGGGCTCACTATTCTTCCCTGATGCAGAGGGCAGTGTCATCTGAGCCTTAGCTCATATCTGGGCATTTAGTTACAAGTATCATCTAAATGATTTTCTTTTCTTTCTTTAGCTGCTCTGTTACCCCTTCTTCTAAACATGGGGGCAAAGGCATTAAGTATTTAAAGGGGGCCGGCCGAGTGGCGCGTTGGTTAGGAGTTGGCTTGGGATGCCAGCTCTGAGCAGCAGGGCCCTGGTTCAGATCCCACATGTGAGCCAGTGATGCTGCGCCCTCTACAGCTAAGATGGTGAACAACAGCTCGACCTGGAGCTGAGCTGCTGTGAGTCGCTGTCAACGGTGTAGGCTACAGTGAGGCTGCAGTGGGCTGCAGCTACCGTGAGTGGCTGGCAGCTGGCGTGAGCTGGTGTGAGCTGCCATTAGCGGCCATCCAGAGGCCGGTGACCAATCTGCCTCACCAGGGAAGAGCGCAATGATAACACCAACATGGGCCAGTGAAGCCACGTCCTCCACAACTAGACTGAAGAACAAAAAAGGACAGCAACTTGTCTGTTCCCATTCTCCAATTCCCCAACACTGTTCCCTCCCCCAATTCCCCAATAAAATCTTAAAAAAAAAAGAATTTAAATAAAAATCATTCAAGTTGGCTACTTATTAGAAATTCTAATTAAAAGACTGATACAAAAAATACCAAAATAATTGGTTTAAGACAAATACTTTAAATCATTTATAAATTTCCATCGTGTGTACTGGTCCACTTAAGCCAGAAGGTCACTTCAATCTGACTAGATAAAACAAAGTGAAGGTACTATCCATTTATTGGGTTACGTGCCTGTTTTCTACAGCACATCCTTATCTTCCTAAAACAGACTCCTCTGTGTTCTGTTTCATGCCCTCTCCTGTGTACAGATCACTGGCAGATGGCATTTGTTCCTCTCCCCTCACACCAAGGGGATTTTTGGAGGGCAAAGTCTTGGGACCTCCTCTTAATTTAAACTACAATAGGAGCCTATTAACATGTCAATTTGGTTATGATTTTTTTTTTTTAGTGAATACTTCAATGTTTTGTTTTATTTTATTTATATATTTATTTGGGCTCAGTTTAATAGATCCTTTAGGTTGTGGTTTGTTTAGTAAAAAAAATTTTTTTTAATTTGGGTTCAGTTTGGGGTTTAGCACATTCACATGCTTATTTTGGATTTTGGTTCACATTTCCATTGAAGTCCTTGATTCAAATTTTTGACAACTGTCAAAGTAGTCAATAATTACAAGTTTTCCTTTTCCTATTCCATTCTTCCTATAGTTATATTTATAGTTATCTTTATCCTCAGAGGGTAGAGCAGGCCTCGGCTTACACACTCCTGCGTTCAAATTCCAGTTTTTCCCTTAAGTAACTGTACAAACTTGGACAAGTTAATGAACATCGTAAGACCTATTTTTTTTTCTAATCTAGTAAATTGGTTATAATAGTGAAACTTAGTTCTTAATAGGATTAGATGAGACAACACTACAGATAAAATGTAATATCTCATTCTACTGCTCTTTTTCACCCTGATGATTTTCCATGAAAATGCCAGACAATAAAACCATACCTGCAACTCTTTTCTTTAGCCCATCTCCTTAGTATACTAGTAACCAACTGAAAGCTTGTTGGTTGAAAGGGTGTTGGAAGCAGGGGTCACGTTGTAGGTTGGGATTTCCCTGAAGCTGAAGTGGAGAGATGAGTGGCCTGGAGGGTCTCAGGCTTCAAGGAATTCCAGTGAACCCTGGCAGGATGAGCTCTGCAGGCTGGATGGTCAGGAGCTATGGGGCTCAAGCCAGCTGCCCCCAGAAGAAGAGAAGTTAGCTAAAACATGCTCGTGGAAGGGAAGTGCGAAAATAAACAGCGAAATAAGGGACTGTGGGTTCATATAGGTATGATAATGTAACTGAAAAAACATTTACTTTTAAAGAATACGTACATGCATCACCATGTACTACTATGATAAATAAAGGCAATGACAGATACAAAACCAGTGACGCTGTTGTTTTGGGGAGCCTTGCATGCCTGTTAAAGACACTGACCCCGCAGCCCTGCTGTGCAGAATAAGCAGAGAAGAGTTCTGAGTAGCCAGGGAGCTTCTACCCACTGAGTCGTTTCTCTAGGTCCACAGGTTGCTCCTTCCAGTCTGGGTGAAGGCACTAAGCAAGGTTGTCCTCAGACTGTCATCTCTGCCCCAGATTTGATTATTATACACAGAAGCAACACAAACATAGAGGTGGCCAGCTTCACCAGTGTTAGGAGACAGCCGGGCAAAGCATTTTACAACCCAAGTGCTCTGTTCCATGCCCCGCTGGCTGGGAAGGGGGCCTCTGAGCACAATAAGGGAAGTTATGCAGAGTGAAATCCATACCAGCAGGCAAGAGAGGAGGCAGGGCCAGAGGTGTCCTGGACCAGACGAGGTGGGGCTGGAGACAGGATACAGGGGGAGGGAGGCCAGGAAGGAAGGGGCTTGGGGCTCCCCCGCAGGGAGGCCTCTGTACTGATACCCTCCCTAGGAAACAGAACCCCAGGGGTTGTACCACAGCTTCTGGGAAGGTCTCGCTTACTGGGTCACTGAGCCTGCCCACTCTGCTCTTCCAGGTGTCATGGGCTTAATGATAAGGTTAGAGTTCCAAAGTAAATTCCCCGGGGGCAGCACCTCTTAAAAACAGGATCCCTTAGACAGAGCCTTTCCCCGGCAGCAGCTTTTTCAGGTTGTGTTTTGAGGCTCCTTTACACTGGATGACTACAGCTCATTCTCAGGCCACAGTGCCGTGTCCACAAGATGGTGCTGAGTCCACACAAAGTAATGCTCTTGTGTTCCAAGTAGCCAGTAATCCAGTCCCCAAAATCTTTCTCAAAATGGGCAGATGAGTAAGCATTGCTTCAAAATAAACAGACAGTAGGTGCTTTAGATAATAAAACGCAAAGAGAGCATGCTTCTTAGTGGAGCATGCGCTCTAATTCATTCGCAATTTGCCACAAATGGATTCTAGAGATTCTTCAGATCAGGGGTGGGGACCGCTCCACCCAGTGCGAGAATTTCCTCTTTAGAGGAGCAGTCCTCCTTAGGAGCAATTGAGGGGCCCTCAACAGTAACCTCTGCCACATGACCACTCTTTGAAAGTTTACTCTGTGTGTCTCTTTTCTGGGCTAAAAATCTCAAGTTCCTTCCGCTATTCCCTGGTAAAAAGAATTTTATAGGCAAAAGGAACTTTATAGATTATTTACTCCAAACCTTTCATTTCAGGTATGAGAAAATGAAAGCATGGAGAAGTCAAATGACTTGCCTAAGATCTCATGGTGTGTGACCAAAACATGTTTCTAGGCTTCCACACACGTTACTACACTATGCTCCTCAAATGGCAGGTGCTGGGACCCACTTACCAACATGACCTTAGAAAGTACTTGACCTCCCTAAGCCTCAGTCTCCTCATCTATAAAAGGGAGTGAATCATAACAAACTCATAAGGTGTTGGGAGGATTAAATGAGGGTATAGGAGCACTCAGGAAGTACACAGCAAATCATTAAGTGCTCAATAATGGATTTTCTTTATAATATACAGACTTTTCTTTTTTGGCATGGCATGCTCCTTTCTCCCCTTGTTTTCCTCTTCCTCTTTGGCTTTCAAACTTTCAAGGCTGAATTTTTTTAACTGAAGCTCAAAGTTTGACTTATTTATTCTGGTTAAATTTAATGTTTAGAATGTCGATTCTATCTTAAAATGGATCTACTGATTCCTTAAACACGTTACCCTGATTCCTGCTCGAGAAACTTTCAGGTAAGTTTAGGATGGTGCTGTCTGTGACAAAAAGGCACGACTGTTTCCTCTGCTCACCTCTAGAGAGGGGCAGGATGTGACCATTCTTTGTACCCACTCAGATCACATTTCGAGATCAAGATTGTTACACTGATGACAACTTGAAAAATATTTTCCAGTCTATTAGACTACACAAAACAAAGCCTTGGTTTCATCTGTAAAGAAAAAGGAGGTTGAATCCACACTGACAGGAAGTGACTCTGTGAGGAGCAGCTCTGGCTGTGTTAATACATTAATATGTTTGGAATCCGGATGCTGAGACCTCAGGGTAAGTGAGCTCTTGCACTGAGGTCCAGAAAACTTCAGAGCTAAGGGGAATAAAATTATTGGGAATAACCTAAGAGTAAAAGAACAAGTTGTGAAGCTCCTTAGAGCTGATCTGTGGTCCCTAGGCTGGTCTTTGGTTACAAGTGACCCAATCTAAGCCCTGACCAGTTATGTTCTTTTAGGTCTGTCGCTTTAATAAGCACAGCAGATTATCCTTTTCTAACCTTTCTTCTCCATTCCTGGATCCTCTCTAACGAGCTCACACCATTTGTTTTTCTGGGGCTCACATCGCGGCACCCTCATATCCTGCCCCACACACAGGGAATGCGGTCAGCCTGCCCTGTCAGTGCCCGTGTCCACGTACTCGGCAGAACACCACCTTCTCCATCCTGGCTCTTCCCAAAGGCCAACTCTCTGACCCATGCACAGAACAAAGGTAAGAACACCTTATTCCTGTTTAACCCTTCGCCATTTACAAATCACTTT